ATGTAGGGAAAATAATTCGATTGTTGTGACCGCAGAAGACTTGGGCGGGGATTAGAATAATGCCCTGTGAAATATTGTGAGTAGAACAAAACAAGTAGTACAAGTACAATTCCAGAAGTCCAATGGACGATTTTGGAAACTTATTAACATCATTTTAAAAATGTTCTCAAATGCAAATGAGTGGCTGCCATGATGTTTCCCTGTCTGTGGTCAACAAGCGAAGAAATATAATTCATTCGTCCTTAATAATATTACACATTTCACAATAATACATACATTAAGATTTGATTTGATAAACATTCTATTCATACTGTTTTTTGATAAACAAAGGACATGGATAACCTTAGAATTGTGACTGCAAACCTTGAACTGAGCCATGTTGGCGTCAGTTTGAAGAACACCAGGATGACGTCATAATTGAATATCTTTATTGGCGCCAAAGTATTGAAGGACACATGATCAAAATCATCCATTGTTTTTGGATTTATATAAAAGTCAAAACTTGCATCCAAATAGCATAAATAGCAAATATTTCAGTCGATCGAACTGATTAGATATAAACTTGGAGGCTTGCTCATTGTTACCTCAGACTGTCACAGGCTACAAATATTAATGGCTTTGTATGACAGTCCTGGTCGTCGTAGCCAACTTTAATTTAGTTATATTAGAAAGAAAACTAGAATAAATTTGAATCTCTTCCTTCCTACAAATATCCAAGAATACGAAAATACGAATTATATAGGCCTATATCTTGTGACCTTGAGAAAGGTCATTCCCATGAGTTGACTTTTTTTCCCTGAAAGCTGACATGCTACTAAATAACATAAAGTATGAATTAATTATGTTCCGATTTTCTTGAGGTTGGCCATTTATTTCGACCAAAATGACCAGACTATTGGGAACAGTTTCATTTACAAAAAGGTTGTACGATATGGCTGTCCCTTTGGTTACTTCACTCAGATAGTGAAGGGGCAGTTAAGGCGCCATATACAGAGGGACCACCGTAAAACATCTTCAGTGTCAACCGGATTGGTGGTGTGGAGGATGAAAACCGTCGTTATATGAGTCCGGGGGAGGCACTCATGCCCATGCCACCATCCGGGTTGTGTGGAGTTGAGTGGCGGCAAGGGGCATCTCAACGTAGGGAAGAGGCTCGGCGGGCTCGTGAAAGGGCTGTCATTGAGGCCCGGGCATCCGCTAACACCCCCATCCCTCCCTGTATCAGTGTAGAGATGAAGAGGTACATGTTGTTGTGCGGGGGATGGAAGGCTAGTAGGAGAGGCTAGACATAAGCCCACTAGGAAACGCCGTGCAAAAGATCTGGGAATAGAAGATGAATGAAGAGAGTCGGTGGATTTTTTTTATCTGTTTACTGTTTTCAGTGGAGCGAAGGACGAGGTTGGGTCATGGTTGTTTGTCTTTGTATGTGTCAACCTGTGTAACGAATTAGACGATGTATTCCATTAAATCGACATATTACTAATTTGTATCGCGTAGACCCGAAGATGCTGACAAACAAATTTAAGGAACTGGTTACATATATTTTAGAGAAAAATTACAGTGCAGTGTTTTGTGTTAGTGTCAAAATTTTATTCTACACAGTTGGACATGAATTGTTTTGTATATATGATCTATTAATTTATGTTGAGTACTATTAAATGTTGATTTATTTTGTATATATGATCTATTAAGTTATGTTGAGTACTATTAAATGTTGATTTATTTTGTATATATGATCTATTAAGTTATGTTGAGTACTATTAAATGTTGATTTATTTTGTATATATGATCTATTAAGTTATGTTGAGTACTATTAAATGTTGATTTATTTTGTATATATGATCTATTAAGTTATGTTGAGTACTATTAAATGTTGATTTATTTTGTATATATGATCTATTAAGTTATGTTGAGTACTATTAAATGTTGATTTATTTTGTATATATGATCTATTAAGTTATGTTGAGTACTATTAAATGTTGATTTATTTTGTATATATGATCTATTAAGTTATGTTGAGTACTATTAAATGTTGATTTATTTTGTATATATGATCTATTAAGTTATGTTGAGTACTATTAAATGTTGATTTATTTTGTATATATGATCTATTAAGTTATGTTGAGTACTATTAAATGTTGATTTATTTTGTATATATGATCTATTAAGTTATGTTGAGTACTATTAAATGTTGATTTATTTTGTATATATGATCTATTAATGTTGAGTACTATTAAATGTTGATTTATTTTGTATATATGATCTATTAAGTTATGTTGAGTACTATGAAATGTTGATTTATTTTGATGACACATTATTGGAGTACCCTGATGATTATATTGGGACACATTAACTTTTCTGATTTATTTTTGTTTTGAAAAAAAAAATCGCATACATATTTAAAGAAAGAAAAATGATTTTCTCTTTATAGATTTTTGTTTGTTTGTTTGTTATATCTAAATTAAAGATTATTACATTAAATTGTTGATCTTGCCTATAATTTGCATAGTTGTCTGATCTAATAGGGAAATGTTTATGGAAGGGGTATGTATATATTTAAATGTGTATTGTTGTCATTTTGTCCAGTGTATTGTAATGGGTGCAAAGTAGTATCTGTTTTTTCCTTCCTTTTCAAATGATTATAGCTAAATCTGATAACATGGTGGATATTTGACGTATTTGGTTTATTTGACTTTTACAATTGTTATTATTCAATTTTTGTTTCAACGGCTGATTACTGTTTGTTTGTGATGTGTACATAAATATGTGTTGTGTATGTAAAAGTTGTGCCCTCGTATAGTGATTTTCTTTCGTCAACTCTGTGGTTCTGCCTTGACTTAACCTTAACTGGCTACAGGTCAATGAATGGCAATACGTTTTATAAAGTTCTACAATTTATTATGTACCAAACGAAACAGTGAAGTAAATTAAACATGATGAATAGATATACACAATGCTACAGCACGTCAACCACTCGACCGGTCCATACTAAAACAGTATACCGTGTAAAATATGTCCTCTCAAAAATGGGGAATAAGTTTAAACCCACCCCGATAATATATTACAACATGCCTACAACGGGAAAATAACCATCCCAAATCAACACCGAGATAATTCTACCCAAACATGCCTACAATGGGAAAATACCACCCAGCCCGGAATAATTTTGAGGTCTAAGGCCGAAATATACTCCTACATACCTGTCCGTAAGTAGGGTAAAGACGAACCGGCCAGCTACATGTGAGCCTCTGCCAGACTGATTTATAATACCAAAAACACCCAGCTATATAGCCAAATTTAATTGTATGCCTTGAAATGCACGTGCCATGTAGTATTTGAAATACACGTGCAATGTAGTATTTGAACTCGATACTGACCCATACCTGAGCGTGGAGTGCTGTACAGGTAAGATAACATATCCCAAAAATATTAACCAATCAGAAACGTCTAAATAATATACCGGAAGGGAATCCCCAACGGGAATACCCCAGGTACACGCACTCCGTTACGCGGAACGTAAAAACGTAAATATATACAACAAGTAAGTGTTCAAAACCCAATCCTTTTACATGTATATATGATGAGTTTATAAAGTTCTATGTAGTCAAATGCTATTGTGATACAAATTTGAATGGGGAATAGGATTTTTGTCACTGTCAGTTATTAAAAGGTATACAAGTTATGTATTTTGCGTTATGTAAACGTATAAGCATACCTTGTGTATATATGTGCCGGTTGGTTTTCATTTAAGCGTTGCTATTTTGCCATGCTTTAACTGATTACATTAATTGCTATTTTTACGATAAGGGTTTTCATTGGATAGCTGTTAAAGTATTGAATGAGGTTCAGATCATGCATAGCACGGAATTCTGTTGGGTCTGTTGGGTATACATTCGGGTGGTCGTGTGGTCGTTAGTCTATAGAAGCCATTGGCTGGTAGGCTCACCTTTTTATTCTTCCCTTCTATCTTTCGTTTTCTCTTTACGGTAGGTGTAGGACGGTGACTGGGATGGCGGCTTGTTATTATAGGCAGGCTAAGCAGGTGGGGGATGTGTCTAGCTCCGGTAAATATGATAGTAGTTGTAACAGGATATTTGACATGATATATATATTGTACGTGTTCTTATATGTGCACCATGGACCATGTCTACCTTCGCTTGCTATGTGTAAATAAATGTTGTCTATTATATATATATATTATCTCTGCCTCCTCGTCTTCTATTGAACACTGGTAATAACAGGACGGAACCGCGGGTACCCCCTCGAACCTGGGTTGCTCCATTGAGACACGACATTACGAACTGTTACACATTTATATAATTACTGTTCGAGTTTTATCACTTGATAATCCTTTTATTGACGTTAGTTATGTTTTGAAATAGTCTGTCAATGTTTTAAATAAATGCATTCGACCGATAGAAAAAAAATGTTTACAGTCGACCCAGACAATCTCTAAATAACCATTATTGGCTTAAGTATACACATTTTCTGCGAACGATACACAGTTATGTAACGTCAGTAACAGTAGATAAAGGCGGAGTTGTAATTAAGTAAGGCTAATGTATATTGCATTGTCACTCTTATTGAACTGATCGCACGTGATTATGTTTTGAAATGAAATATGTGTCTGCTGATCAGACTAGTGTTTACATTATTATAAATAATTCGCAGGAAAGACTGTAAATATAAGGGATTGCTTTCTATTTCAATCAGGATTTGAGCTGATCAGTTAAGTCATCTATTCAATATAAACGTGCTCAGTTATAGTTATGACTACAAAATATGAGCAAAACTGTAAATTCCTTAAATAATTATTGTTAAATCTCTTACAAGTCAAAAGCAATATCAGCAAAACAAATAATAAGAATGTTTACTTTTATTTTCTGTTATCTGGTGTTGATTTAAATACTTGCTGAAATTTACATGCGTTTAATAACAATTTATGTATATATGCTGACATTATGAACCAGGAACTGAGCTATGTACGTCATATTTACCAGGGGAAATGTCAACAGTGTAAATACGCAGATGTTACCGTGACTTTCAACACACATTAGTGTGCTCCTCTCTACCAATAACACTATAGTATATTATGCCTAAACCGGGCGTTATAGCAGGTCTTGGAGTCCGTGCGATTTAAACAACTATTCCAATACTGAAGGAAGCGAGCGAGTGGCTGACTAAGTATGGCGCTGATAAACACACTCTGTATACTCATGGTAGGTGACTAGTTTTAATTAGAAAGTTTTACTTTTTATAATCTTACTTTACGGAACTCATGCATTAAGCAATGCACACATCAGGTTTACCCTTGAAAAGTGTTCATCTTCATACTATAAAGATGTTTGAAGCTACAGTTTATGTTCTGTTGATTATTAAGGTTTTGTTATTATTTACATTGTGTTATTATTTACAAATTGTTTGGATTTACAAGGTCTTACTATATATTGTGTTACCTTTTTATATTTTGCTACTTTAGTTTGAAGATGTTATCTAAATTGGGTTACTACTTATCTGTTGGTAATATTTTAATGATGTGAATATTTACATTGTGTAACTTCTTACGTGTTGCTACTATTTTAATGTTGTGAATATATACATTATGTTACTATTTACGTGTGGTTACTATTTTAATGTTGTATCTATTTACATTGTGTTACTATTTACGTGTGGTTACTATTTTAAAGTTGTAAATATATACATTATGTTACTATTTACGTGTGGTTACTATTTTAAAGTTGTAAATATATACATTATATTATTATTTACGTGTGGTTACTATTTTAATGTTGTATCTATTTACATTGTGTTACTATTTATGTGTGGTTACTATTTTAATGATGTATCTATTTACATTGTGTTACTAGTTACATTGTGTAAATATGAATGATATGTCACACAAATAAATTTAATATGAGCAGTCAAACTTCTTTCGATTCAGACATGACATGTTTCGAACGATTTGATTACTGCTGACATTTTTAAGTCATTTATACAAGGCATACTTGAAAGTTGTGTGTGAAATGTTTTAGTTACTCCTTTGTGACCGCACGACTGTAACTTAAAAATAAACGGACATGTGTTAGACTTGCTGAAATTGATTGCAGATTCGGCATATGCAGAATGCACATAAACTTGTACGTGATATAATCTTTTCATATAACAGAAATCTCACACAGGTAAACTGCTGTTTATCGTAGGTGTAAAAGTGTCACAGGTGTGATGGCTTAAATTCTTTTACAGGTGAAAGCGTACTTAGTACAGACTTACTACTACCCAAGCAGCTGTACCTCTAGTGCAGACTGTGACCGGGGGCAATGTTGTAGAGGAAGAACAGGCCAGGTGATAGGAATGGACACAACTCTTCCTCCAATGACAGGTAATTCTAGGAACTATACTGTGATATATTCTTCTTTAAAACTATAAATACCATTGTTCAACACCTTCGTTTCAGTCTACATGTTTGATTGATATAAATGGGAAAATGTTTTACGCCCTTAATTGATCACAGCTTTTTGTTCAATAATGATTTATTTCCCTGACGCATTGTCAGTTGCCGGCTGTGTTTTGGTGGTAGATATTTTCCACTAATAAACAAAAAGAAAAAAGATACAATAAAACGAATCTCGTATTTACAATACTAAAAACAATTTTGAACTCGAACAACTTAATAGTATAGACAATTTAGTCATGATTTGAAAATAAAGTCTTGAGCAGTCAATGGTTTCAAACAATCTTACCCATAAACAGTCTTACCCATAAAAAATCTTACTCATAAACAGTCTTACCCATAAATAGTCTTACCCATAAACAGTCTTACCCATACACAATCTTACCCATACACAATCTTACTCATAAACAGTCTTACCCATAAACAGTCTTACCATAAACAGTCTTACCCATAAACAGTCTTATCCATAAACAGTCTTACTCATAAACAGTCTTACCCATAAACAGTCTTACCCATAAACAGTCTTACCCATACACAATCTTACCCATAAACAATCTTACCCATAAACAGTCTTACCCATAAACAATCTTACTCATAAACAGTCTTACCCATAAACAGTCTTACCCATAAACAATCTTACCCATAAACAGTCTTACCCATAAACAGTCTTACCCATAAACAATCTTAACAGTCTTATCCATTACCCATAAACAGTCTTACTCATACACAGTCTTACCCATAAACAGTCTTAGCCATAAACAATCTTACTCATAAACAGTCTAACCCATAAACAGTCTTACCCATAAACAGTCTTACCCATACACAATCATACCCATACAAATCTTACTCATAAACAGACTTACCCATAAACAGTCTTACCCATACACAATCTTACCCATAAACAGTCCTACCCATACAGTCTTACCCATACACAATCTTACCCAAACACAATCTTGCCCATACACAATCTTACCCATACACAATCTCACTCATAAACGGACTTACCCATAAACAGTCTTACCCATACACAATCTTACCCATAAACAGTCTTATCCATTAACGGTCTTACCCATAAACAGTCTTACTCATAAACAGTCTTACCCATATACAGTCTTACCCATAAACAGTCTTATCCATTTACGGTCTTACCCATAAACAGTCTTACCCATAAACAGTCTTACCCATAAACAGTCTTACACATAAACAGTCTTATCCATAAACAGTCTTACCCATAAACAGTCTTACCCATACACAATCTTACCCATAAACAATCTTACCCAGAAACAGTCTTACTCATAAACAGTCTTAACCATACACAGTCTTACCCATAAACAGTCTTACCCATACATAATCTTACCCATAAACAGTCTTACCCATAAACAGTCTTACCCATGAGCCTGGATCGCTTGCACGCGTATATTAGAACTAATCTTTAACTTGGAGAGGTGGAGTTGTTATGCTCTTGTTACTATTCCTCTTCTCTATCCAACGTCGAGTTGTCGAGTTTAGCATTTAAGGGGGTATTTTTTGTCTTGCGTTAGTCTTATAATTTGATTGATACTTTACAAAATGCCCAGAGAATAACAATTGATTTCAATGTTTTTTGAAGATACATCCCTGCATAATAAAAGGCACGGTTAGGATCATTAAAAACGTCGGAAGCCTCGGCTCCCTGCTAAATATTGCATTCCTAGGGAGTCCTACCAGGGAAGCACCATATCAATTACAAACGGGTGTCCCATGCTTACTATATCGTGTGTGAGAGGCAATACACTGCTGAACATTCGTATATTACTGTGAACTGTTAGACAGTTGCAATCCTTGTAAAAATAATTTCATATTAATTCTATATTTATAGGTATATGTGCAGGATTCAATAACAACATGCAACCGTTGGATGACGGCTGCGGCTGTAACTGTGACAGAGGTAGGCAACAAACGGGGCATGGCTGGAACAGTTTTATCGTTATAGATATATGATCCTCATCCAACAGCGGAACCTAAGATAATCTTGCTATCTAAATTTTATGAATCTGTTTTCTCAGTAGCATTTCTTTTCAGCGTTTTTTTTCTTTTTCTTGATAAGGTGAAGAAATCTTTCAAATGATTCAATTGTGTTGGTATGTGCAGGAATTTTTGGGTCCATAATTCGCGATTCTATTCAAAGAATTGCTTTATATTAAAGAATTTTAATTTCGTTGATTTCGTTGGTAATCTTCATCCACAAATGCATAGGTCCACGAAGTCCTCCTTAATTTGTTCAAAGATGTCTTACTGTGTCACATGCATAACAAATAAGGCAAAAGTTTGACCGAAAGTGAGTTTTTGGTGTACCAAACAGGGTAGGGCAAATAACAAATATGATTTGCTGTTTTCAAAATGAGCTTAAGATCCGAAATAGTACCATTTCTGTTTTTGAAAACATGTAAAATTAACAGGCATATATAAAAGAATGAAAAAATGACAGAAATTCAATCCGCACTTAAGGATTGTTTATACAAATCGGAGGATTAAGTCAGGGGGTTGTTTTCGGTAATTTTCAAATGAAAAGTGAAGATTTAATTTTTGTTATTTTTCATTCTTTTACATATGCCTGTTTAATTAACAGATGTTTCCAAAAACAGAAATGGTATTATGTTGGTGTTTTAGCTCATTTGAAAACAGCACATACTCTTTATGATTTACCCCTACTCCTTTTGGTACCCCCTTTCAGTCAAAGTTTTCCTAAGTTTTTGCGCTTGTGATACAATAAGACATCTTTGATCAAAAAGGGCTTTATTATAGACACTCATCCTTTGTAATTACTTAGTGGACCTATGCATTTGTGGATGAAGCTTACCAACGAAATCAAAATCTCCACAAAAAATATTGATTTTACAGTACATGTGTACATGTTAAGACTTGATTGATGCTCTACACCTTACTTGTACGTTTTGTTACTTCCCCCAGATTTTCTGTGTTACCGAGAGATAACAGGTGTCTGTTGCGCTCCTTACACCTGTAGCGACGCCGACTACGTCAGAGAAAGGCAGGCTTTCTGGAAGAACTGCTTCAGCGATCCTAATTGCGCTCTTCCACCCGTTGTAAGACCCCCTCAAGATGGGACGGGACTTACTGTTTAAAATGACGATACAAATGAAGAAGATATTAAAACAACCAAATGCATCAATTATAAATTTGATTTAATATTTATTTTTTAAATATGATGCATACTTTTATTAGGGTGTTAAGATGATGGCCATACATAGGACTGTGCTTCATATGTCATGCTGGAAATATGAAACATATATAGATGATTTTAAATATATATTTTTCATATTTAAACTTCACCAATTATTGATAAGTTTATGTTGCTTATATCAACCATTTCAATGTTACTGTTCCTAAATTTACCAACTTGACGAAAATAAAATAAACTAATATTACTGTTCTTTTTTTAATGATATTCAACCGTGATTACGCTACTATGTTATGATTTGTAAGAAATGTTACAGGAGATCAGAAATTGCTTAGCGTTTCGGGGAACCTATGTTTATGTCCTTATTTGTTCTGGTTGTGAGGAATTATGACGTACTTCAGCCTGATTTGACCCAAACGTGACCAACATTAAAATCAAAAATGATCTTGTCTACATGTATGTCGCTAAATTTAGATTCTTAACTTAGATATTGTATATCCTTATGTCAAAAATCTCGGATTTTTGTTGTACATTACCATTTCTACAGGTCGTCAAAGTTGCTTCTTTGAACAAATACGCAATAAATCATGGTTGTTTCCAGTTATATCCGTTTTTTGACACACATAGCTTGTAGGTATTCATTTTAGGCTGTTTAGCTGATTCCGTCATCATATGTTAATCATGACATAGCAATACACTAGGGGACATAACTCTGTTTGACTTGACTGTACTTTTCATAGACCAACTTATTGCAGTCTACTTGGATACTTTCAAGACGTTTTGAGCAAAAAAAACCTATCATACGGAGGCATGCGAGATATAGATATATTACCCAGAGGATGTAGAATTTATGTCAGGCCAGCGGCCTCACCGAGGTTCTCAAACCGAATTTTAAAATTTCAAAACGTAATGACTGATCTTTTTCACCAAGGTCTAATCATTTGTTTTTGTTTTTGTTACGTGCACCTGCTTCTTTTTCAACACATCAGTTCACATATTTGTGTTTTCACTTGGTGACAGCTGTTAGATGAAATACCTACCCTGGTTGACAGTCTCTTTTGCGGTGGAATTCATCCAAGTTTTTTTTGTAATAATGACCAAAAGCCACGTGCCCAACGGGACTGCGGTATTTCCTTTGTTGACGTTGCGGAATTTCAACATAAAAGTGCACAGACCACAGCAGTTATCTTAGAGTGTATCATTATATCATTATGATGACATGTCACTAACGCAAATAAATAAGATTTGTAAAATAATATCTACATTTAGATCAAAAATTCGCCATCGATTTCGCTTTATTTGTTCAATAGAAGATAATTTGTTATTAAAGCTTGAAAATGATTGCTGGTAATGTAAATAATGTTTTGGTATTTCACTGTCGCTGTTCTTCCTCTCATACATACATATATTCATGCATACATACATACATACAGACTAATATAGGCATTGCGCCTGTTGTCTAATTCTTTTGTAAATACAATAAATTTGTTGAAACCAAATACATACTGGTTGTTCAAATACGGAGACTTAGATTCTTATCGCAGAGGTTCATTGGAACGATTTTATTATTTATGCGCAGAACAAGATGTAGTCATTAAGTGTTTTCTGTGATTCCATCGGCATATTTCCATTGGGAATAGAAAATAAAACCAACATGTCACATACTATTACCTTTGTAAAAACATGTACAACAAGAATACCGCGGGGCGGAACAATATACGCCCGTCGAATCCCATACAGTGTTATATACTTTCTTAAATTGAAATAAGATCTGCATCATTCAAAGAGTGGTTAGCTGACATGCTATAACAATGTAGGAGAAAACCTCTGGATAAAATAATCAAATACTGAAATGAACAAAGGGCAATAACTTTTGGAAAAATTGTCGAATCAAACTTCTTTTAATGGAGACACAACTGCATATCATGATTATTTAGTCTACTAAGTTGCAAAGAGATCTGTTGAAAAATGTAGGAGGAGAATGCCAGACAAAAATCAAATACTGAAATGAACAAAGGGCAATAACTTTTGAATAATTGTCGAATCCAAATTCTTTTAAGGGGATTTCCTTCACTTCTCGAAGGTGTGTTCTGTGTTTCATTGAAAGAGGCACTTTTGCCGCCGACATGGATAAGTATATATAAGTACAAAACCATTTATACATTGTAGGACGACCATCAGGACAAACATTGTAAAGTTATCGGTCAGACTCAATGAGATACAGCATGACTGGTGATAATTATATGTCATGTATTAGTTTCCTTTGAATTGATATAAACACAATAATACAAAATTCATTTTTCTTTTATGATTAAAACTACTTTGATATTTTTATAGTTTTTATTATATTTCTAGGAATTCCTACACGCAAATATAAATAAGCATGATGATGTCGGATCTCCCTGTCTACATCCTCGTTCATTTTCAAACACATTGAGAGTATACCGTGCTTAATGCCGTTATTTGGTATTGATTATTAATGTTTCTACGGTATAAAGTTTCTAAAATGAAAAGAAGAAGAAACCCAACAACAATAAATCGAATCTTTATGAAACACCTAGCCCTGGAATCGAAGCATTTTTCAAAGTTGATTAGGACGAAACGTCCGAGCACATTTAATTTTTCTGTGTATCGTAATATATGACACATCTTAACAGACAGTATTTGACGTCTATCCAAAAATTCATAACATGTTGTTAAAACACTGTGATCGTACGACGCAGCAAATGTTAAATTAGACATTTTTCTATTTCCTCTTTTGCATCCACTGTCATTATTGTGATTTTCAACTTTGCCATATATCTTTTTTTTCCACATCGTTTTGTTAACTTTTGTTTTCTGCTTTTATCTTCGAACACTTACGGTGGAATTTGGTAAACATTTAGCCTTATTGTGTTGACTTTACAATAGTTGATTACTTGTGATATGTTTTTCCTGTATCTGCGATATGTCAGCACAGTGGTTTATACATCCGTTATCCCTCCCTACTCCCCTAAGTGTATACCAAGCCTATGTAATTGAATTAGCTAGAACTTATGGAGTGTTTCCTGGATATATCGTCTAAGACGGGAAGTACATGGCACTAAAAACGTGACTTTTGGAATAGCTAAGAAGGTGGTTTTAGACTTCTACAACATAAATTCCCGACTTATTTCGGAAACGCACAAACGTAACTACCGTATAGCAGGATAGTTATGCGGGGAAGTTATTTCTGCGGGGAAGATATTTCCGCGGGGAAGATATTTCTGCGGGGAAGATATTTCTGCGGGGAAGATATTTCCGCGGGGAAGATATTTCTGCGGGGAAGTTATTTCTGCGGGGAAGTTATTTCCGCGGGGAAGTTATTTCTGCGGGGAAGATATTTCCGCGGGGAAGTTATTTCTGCGGGGAAGATATTTCCGCGGGGAAGTTATTTCTGAGGGGAAGATATTTCTGCGGGGAAGATATTTCTGCGGGGAAGATATTTCCACGAATTTGCGAGTCCATAATATTGTTGCGGAAATATGATTCGCAGAATAATATGACAAGCGTAAAAATGAGCTGCGTTTATTAACAACCTAACCGTAATGTCGTCATTTACTAGCAAGCACGCGGTTGTAACGATTCATTTACCTCAGTAATGATACAAGAAAATAGATTTTATCACAGGTCTAGTAGTTTTGCTGATGATTCTTTTTAATAAAATACACCTACATTGTACTTATTGCTCAATATACTGTCATACAGTGTATTAGTTTGACTATTTGACATTTCATATGCCGAGTGTCCTGTCTCTGTGTTAAAACACAGCAAATTAGTTCGATCACATGTCTAGATCGCGAAATCATAATCAGTGAAAATTAAAAACAAACAAAAAACCGGTCAAAATCGTGAAAATTGAAGTCTGCGTAATAATTCCTTATACATTATTGCGGTTAGTAGTCTGATAAATATAAATACAAACTTGGTATAAAAAACTTTTAAGGTTACAATCATTGACATAAAACACTGTGCTCTTGAAGCGATCAGTGTTCTGTATAACTCTGATAAGTTTAAACATGTTTTCTGATGCACCAAAAAATAATTGGACACAATTTGCTACAAATTATAAGTCGTCCTTTTCATTTCAACAAATATCGAATGGTTTTATAATGGAAGCAGGAGCATTCAAAAACAATCTTTATGAACGATGCAGATCAAAAGAAAATAATTGTGACAGTAACCAAGAGTTAAGCAAATTACTGAAAAATGTAAGTGGTTGTGTTATCTAAAAGTATGTAATTTAAGTAACTATACGTTTAAGAACGACGTTAATAGATTCAAAGACAATCTTTATTTAATTGTTTTAACTTACAAGCTTCACCCTACGTAATACACATGTTTTTTTCGTATTTTTTGCGTCATCATTTCCAGGGTGTGTATTAAGTATTTCAAATCCGTAGTGTAACTTGTATTAACAGCGGGTAGACAGTGGTGTATGTGCGTGGTGATGGTATGTCAACAACAAGATAATGAGACGCTTGTGGGAGAGGTGTACTTAATGAACTTAAGACAGATGCTTCACGTAGTGATGAAAACTGTTTCGGAAATAAGGCTTCTAATTCACGGCCATAACTTGACCCCTGAGAAGACATTGAAACGAGTAGGGGCCGCGGTGGCCAAGTGGTTAAGGCGTCTGCCATTCTGCTACCACTAGCCCTTCACCACGAGGTCTACGTGGAGCAGTCGCCAGGTACTGACCGAAACATGACACGTCCTTAAGGGAGATAACTCTCACACAAATCACAGGTATAATGTTTAAGGTAACATATATCCTTAAGGAGATAACTCATATACACATTACAGGTATAATGTGTAAGGTAACATATATCACTAAGGGAGATAACTCATATACACATTACAGGTATAATGTGTAAGGTAACATATATCACTAAGGGCGATAACTCATACACAGATCACAGGTTTAATGTGTAAGGTAACATATATCCTTAAGGGAGATAACTTTCACACAAATCACAGGTATAATGTGTAAGGTAACATATATCACTAAGGGAGATAACTCATATACACATTACAGGTATAATGTGTAAGGTAACATATATCACTAAGGGAGATAACTCATACACAGATCACAGGTTTAATGTATAAGGTAACATATATCCTTAAGGGAGATAACTCTCACACAAATCACAGGTATAATGTGTAAGGTAACATATATCACTAAGGGAGATAACTCATATACACATTACAGGTATAATGTGTAAGGTAACATATATCACTAAGGGAGATAACTCATACACAGATCACAGGTTTAATGTATAAGGTAACATATATCCTTAAGGGAGCTTACCCATACACAGATTACAGGTTTAATGTGGAAGGTAAAATGTATTCTTAAGGCAGATAACTCATACACAGATCACAGGTTTAATGTGTAAGGTAACATATATCACTAAGGGAGATAACTCGTACACAGATCACAGGTTTAATGTGTAAGGTAACAGATATCCTTAAGGGAGATAACTTTCACACAAATCACAGGTATAATGTGTAAGGTATCATATATCCTAAAGGGAGATAACTCTCACACAAATCACAGGTATAATGTGTAAGGTAATATATATCCTTAAGGGAGATAACTTTCACACAAATCACAGGTATAATGTGTAAGGTAACATAACACCTTAAGACAGATATACAAATCAAATCTATAATGTGTAAGGTAACATATATCACTAAGGGAGATAACTCATACACAGATCACAGGTTTAATGTGTAAGGTAACACATATCCTTAATTAAGGTAGCTTACCCATACACAGATTACAGGTTTAATGTGGAAGGTAAAATTTATTCTTAAGGGAGCTAACTCTCACACAAATCACAGGAATAATGTGTAAGGTAACATATCCTAAAGGGAGATAACTCTCACACAAATAATAGGTATAATGTGTAAGGTAACACATATCCTTAATTAAGGTAGCTTTCCCATACACAGATTACAGGATTAATGTGGAAGGTAAAATTTATTCTTAAGGGAGCTAACTCTCACACAAATCACAGGTATAATGTGTAAGGTAACATATATCACTAAGGGCGATAACTCATACACAGATCACAGGTTTAATGTGTAAGGTAACACATAGTACATATCCTTAATTAAGGGAGCTTACCCATACACAGATTACAGGTTTAATGTGGAAGGTAAAATATATTCTTAAGGGAGATAACTCATACACAGATCACATGTTTAATGTGTAAGGAGACATATATCCTTAAGGGAGATAACTCTCACACAAATC